CATGTTTTCAAGATAATAAACAAACATTTATTGAAACATCAATTGTTCCAAATCTCATGGGAAAATGTTTCATGGAAAATCTCATTTATGTACTCCAGATCAGAGTTGAATTTAATTATACGTTTCAGGTAGCACAAAATTTAAAACAAGAGACTACAACTTCAAAATGTCAAAGACTAGGTTTGCCAATATGGCATATTATAATTTGAAAAATGCTATTATCAGTGATTAATTAGAATGCTTACCTTAAAGAAAAAACAATGCTAGAATGTGTTTTGCCTTCCAAATTCTAGCAGCAGAAAAATGGCCAGTTTTTGCCTTAGAGTCTTACTTGATAAAATAAAAAACCAAACAGTTCAAGTATTAATATAGTTCCCTTTAATATTAGATGATCAATTACATATGAATGACTTCATACACACTTATCGATATAGAGATCATATGTGTTCACACAGTGGTAAACACTAATCACATCACACTGAAGAGGATCTTTTGGATTTAAAGTATTTTTGTTTTGGCCCTGGCCAGTTTTGCTCAGTGGACAGAGTGTTGGCCTGCGGACCGAAGGGTCCCAGGTTCTACTCAGGTAAACAGGCTCCGCGCCGCTAACCACTTATGTGTTTCTCTCACATCAATATTTCTGTCTTTCCCTCTCTTTTCCACTCTCTAAAAATCAATGGAGAAATATCCTTCAGTGAGGATTAAAAAAATAAAAAGGTTTTTTTGCTTTGGTTTTGAGAGAGTCAGAAAGTCTAGACCAGTGGTTCTCAACCTTCCTAATGCCGCGACCCTTTAATACAGTTCCTCATGTTGTGGTGACCCCCAATTTCATTGTTACAAATTGAACATAATTAAAGCATAGTGATTAATCACAAAAACAATATGTAATTATATATGTGTTTTCCGGTGGTCTTAGGTGACCCCTGTAAAAGGGTCCTTCAACCCCCAAAGGGGTCGCGACCCAAGGTTGAGAACCGCTCGTCTAGACTTTATGACAGGGTTCAACATAATTATTTTATGTATATATGTTTTTCTGGGAGGTTTCTGTGGCTTTTATCAGACCCTCAAAGGTGTTGATGACCCTGTCCTCCCCCCGCCCCCATAAAAAAAAACCCCAATAAGAAGCATGACTCCAAGAGAGATTAATCAGTACTCACATTCTAAGGTACCTGCTATATAGAATTAATTCAATAAACATTGTTGAACGAATAAACTTTTTCTAGAATATCACTGAACTGCTGATGCTGTCATCAAAGATAAATGTTGAACAGGAAAGACAAATCAGGAAAACAATGACAAATCAAGACTGACTACTATATGCAGGACAGATGTTAGTCTTTTTTTGGTTAATTTGTTTTTAAGAAACTAATCAGAATGACAAAAGATACACAGAATGATGTAAGAATATTAGCAAAGAAAATATAGTAGTCGATGTGTTATAAAATGTATACTAGAATTTTTGAAGGTGAAAGCCTCTCCTGGGTTTGAAGGAGTTTTGACATACAGTTTTTAATTTTCCATCTACACTCAGGAGAAGACCAAAAGTATAAATGGTAGGGAGAAGCGGCATGGAAGGAAGTTTTTTCGGTCATCAGTTACTGGGAGGAGAGTACCAAGGGGAATGCAAAGTGATCCGGTGCTTCCTGAAGAGCACACTCACTAGCTCCTTGGTATGGCTGCCCTTTGGGGGGCAGGGGGAGAAAGGGCGAATGCAGAGGTTGCTGACTTCTCGAGTGCCCTGAAACTATCAAACATCTTTAAACAGATGCTAGGCCAAGAAAGAAACAAATGCCTTAAAAATCCTAGTTCACATTTGGAGAGCACTCCCAATAGAAATATTTGGAAGCACTAACTTGGTACACATCCAAGCCAGTACTGTTGCCGCTTTCTTGTGAGGTTTCTCAGGAGTCCCAACAGAAGGTCAAGTCCAACTAGAATCTATATCCTTTCCTCATTTTGGTATTGTGAGTTTTTGGAAAGTAAGGAACAACTGCTTCCTGGTGTCTTATTTACTGTAGAAAAATATGTAGGAGATACATGATGAGACCAATATTGGAGAAGATAGTCCAGGAATTGAGCCCAACCATGGTGACATTTGTGGCATTTTCACTCCTCACCTCTAACGTAAAGTATGAAAATACTGTCACTTAAAGAGAGGATGATTTCTTGGATCTGCTCTAATTCCACTGCCAATATGTTCAGATTATAACTAATTTGTAGACCAGATACCGCAAACTGGTTCAACTTCTAGTTCTGTCTCCATGGGTGAACCAGATAAGCTATTTATCTTCTCTAAGCTTAACTTTCCTTATTTGTGAAGAGGAGTGAAATAACAGGGTTTTGTGTGCAATAAATGAGATAAACTGTAAGTAAAGATACTGCATGGCACACCGGAAGTGCTCAGTAAATACCAGCCATTATTCTTATAGTGATTGCCTTCATCAGTGTCCCTGTCTAGAGTTTCTCTCTAAAATTCACCTCCCACTTTGCTGCCACACAATTATTCTTAAACTAGTGGCCCGGTGCATGGATTTGTGCACATTGAAAGGAACTTAATTAGAAGGTGGGCCGGTGGGGTGGGACGGGGTGAGAGGGGCCGGACACGCCCTGGAGCCAACCTCCCACAGTCCTTCCCCTGCCAGCCGAACCAGAGGCGGCACCATGGCTCAAAGGGCGTCTGCGGAGTGAGCGGGGTCCCTCCAGCAGTTGGGGTCCCTCAGCCTGGCCTGTGGGGATCGGACTGAAACCAGCTTTCTGACATCCCCCAAGGGGTCCCAGAGTGTGAGAGGGCACTCTGCAAAGTTGCTATCGTACAGGGTGTGGAACGCAAACGCAAGTGTGCAGTAAACCAGATTCGGGGCTGACAGTGCCCCAGCAACAACATAACCCACCGCTGAAGGTGAAATCGAGTGGCCCCGTGAGGAATTGGTTCTGGGGTGCATCACCCAAGAACTGCCGCTGCCAAGTCACCACAGCTCAGCAGCTCCTGCGTTGAGTGTCTGCCCCCTGGTGATCACTACATGTCATACCTATCAGCTGGTTGGACAGACACTTAGCCTTATCCTATATAAGCACCAGCCCTGCTTGCACCTGCTGCTGGCACTGAATCACTTGGCGCCAGCAATGGGTGCGAATGGTGGCTGTCAGCCCTGATCGCCCCTGAGGGCTTCTCTACCTCCCCCTGCTCCTGAGGGGCAATCAGGGCAGCAGCCGCCACTCCAACTACTGACGGCACCAGCCCTGCTCACACCTGCTGCTGGCACCGGCCCCAATCGCTCCACACCATCAGCAGGTGCAAGTGGTGCCAGCGCTGTCAGCGTATGGGAGTGGGGCTACCAGCAGACAGGGGACTGGAGTCTGTGGCAGGAGGGGCCGGCTGGGGGTGTGGAGGGTGGGCCAAGACCCACCCCTGTGCCTACCGCAATCTCGCGGCCCACAGTTCCTTTCAAGGTGCACGAATTCGTGCACTTGGCCCCGTGTGTGTGTGTGTGTGTGTGTGTGTAAATAATATCTTTGATTTTGTCAGTCTCTATTCAAAACTCTTCAATAGATTTCATGCAAACAGGATAGTTTTATCTTCCTGCCTGGTATGTGTGGCCATTGTCTAGCTAGCCTTAACCACCCTAAACCCACCCTGGTCTCTCATGAAGCCCCTTAATAACAGAATAAACTTCTCCTTTCCCAACATACCCTGCTCTTTTAAGCCTCTTTGCTTTGTTCCTGGTATTCCATCTGCATGGAATGCCTTCCCTATGTACATCCATATAAGTTGCTGACCCTCCAAGCTAGCTCAGGTGCTACCAGCTCCAAAAAGCTTTCATCCCTCTAGCAAAGTGAGTTTTCCCCTACGGATTCCTGAAATAGTTGTCATTTCTTCTACCTTGAAAAATTGTTACTTAGGTTCACATTATCTCCCAACCAAAATATAAGTCCTCCAAACCCAAGGTTCCAATCGGTTTCATTTTATATCCCTACTAGAGGCCCGGTGCACGAAATTCGTGCATGGGTAGGGTCCCTAGGCCTGGCTGGCAATCAGGACTGGCCAGGGCCTCCCTTTCCTGGCTGCCAGCTGCCAGCCAGGGCCTTCCTTCATTCCCACCGAGCCCTGGAGGTCATCGCCATCATAGCGAGCAATCGAACTCCAGGTCTCCCGGTGGAACTCCCAAGGGGACAATGTGCGTATTAGGCTTTATATATATAGAAGGAACACAGGGCCACACTTACAAAAGGTGTTTAACAAATATTTATGGAATCAAGTAACCATACATTATTACTAAAAGTACAATGTGGTAACAGAAGAGGATGAAATGAAGGGCTAAAGCAGCACAGTGGAGGGAGAGCTTATTTTATGACTGCATTTGAAGAAAGCTTTACGGATATTAGAACTTTTTGGACAGGGAGCTAGGCCAAGAATGCAAATGAATAAAGAATGAGTGGGGAGATCACTTTGACTTTGGATGTGCCGAGTTTCAGATGTCAGCCCACACTTATCTTATACAAAAACATCCATTTGTCCAGTAACGCTCCAGCTGCAGGGAACCCTAATCACCTCTATACAGTAAGAACCCTCACTTCCCATTCTGCTCATCCTCCCAGCTTGTGGCACTGAAAACAGTCCAAGGTTGACCAACTGTCCCAGTTTGCCTGGGACAAAGAAGCTTTCTAGGACAAGGGCCTTTGAGTGCTAAAACCAGGAAATTCCAAGGCAAACTGTGATAAGCCAGTGACCCCAAGGGCCCCAAATCTGGCTATATGCTATATATATGCTAATAAGACTGTATTACTATTATGCCTTCAATTAAGAAATAAAACTATGATCCCTACGGTTTATTTTGGCTCTGAGTCTGTCCATCTGTTCTTCCCACAACGTAGAGAATCCTGAAGGAAAAATCTCCCCCTCACAAAGGCAAGACAGTTAAGGGCACTCAATAAATGCTCCAGGAACCTGAGAGCATTATGTCAGTAATTTTTACAGTTTACACAGTGCTGGCAACACTCACATCTCATGCAGCCTTCACCAGCAGGCTGTGCGACCGAAGAAACCCAGGCTCTGGGAAAACGCGATCCCCTGCTCTGTCTACTGCGCACAGCAAGCAAAGTGCCGGCTCCCAGCACCGCGGCTGCCAAAGAACACCGTGTGTTCCACAGAAGCACGGGCGGCTGTTGCTATATGGAGATTATGCAAAACTGCAGTTTCCTTTCTTTTGCAATGTCCACGGACAGGGTACTGACACACAATAGAATGAAGTGTTCCTTTTAGGGTGCCAGTGATGGGTTATTACCTACGGGAAAAGGCATAAAAGACAGTAATTAAAATATTCGTAATTGGTGAGATCAGGTAAGAGGAGCAACAATTTACAAACCAAAAAAGAAGGCAAGTGGTGCGAAGATTGTGCTCTCACACCCAGCACCCAAGGCAATGAATGCGCCTGCATTAGTCAATATGCGATGGCATCGACACGCCCATGGGTGCCTGTATTGATCAATCCAGGAATCTTGGCCGGGGCTGGGAATGGGGAAAGCCCCCGGATGCATAAACCAGGGTAGTCAATTACTCCTAAAGCTTCGTAAACCCGAGAGGCCGGGCCTTGCTGGGTTTACGAGCCCGCAATTCACCAACCACCTCTCCCTGTAGCCATGGCAACGCCCACGCCGAGGCAGCGCCAGCGTTCACCTTCGGATAAGCCACAATCCACCGCACTAGCACCTACGCAGCTCAGATAAAACCAACCAGGACGTCGCCTCCCGCCCAACCAAGGCAGCCATGGCTTCTCCGTGTTCCCCTCTCTAACCCATGCAGGGAACATGTTCTTTAATTCTTTACAGCCGTGTCCCCGGCAGAGAGGGCGAGTCCTGAGCGACGGCCACTTTTGCTACAAAGATGAGTTTTTCTCTTTTTTGGGGGGTGGACGTCAGAGACGCCTGAAAACCGGATGCACACCCAAACAGAAGTTGCCTAAAAAGGCAAATGAGCTGATAGGATCAAAAACATTTTTTTCAGCCAACATCTCGGAGCATGTCTGTCAGGCAAGCTCAGTTTTGCCCCTGCAGGCCACTGTTTCTGGAGCGATAAACAGCTTCCAAGACGGCTGTTTGATTGAGAGTTAAAAACAAAACAAAACAACAAAAAACCCCGCATTCCGTGCGGGTGGGACTGCGCGCCGCGAGCGCAATCATGACGTATGCGGGAGAGCGTTCCAGAACCGCTTTCCAGCGCCAGCAAGATGCCCGGGAAGCAAATCTCACGTTTGCTCCTAAATTTTAAGGGGAATCGATTTGCCCTCCGCGCGCCCGGTGAGAGAACGCAAACCGAGCGGTCTCTGACGGAAGCGGCAGCTAAAACCCCTGTGAGACCCCCGCCTCGTCCCAGGGCGGCCACTCAGCTCCCTGAGATCCCAGCCACCAGCCCGCGAGTCCTATCCCCGCCACATCGCTGGGACCTACGCACAAACGACACAACCCACCGCCAAGTAAAAAAAAGGGGGGGGGGGAACCCCGAATAAAACTTCTGCCGCGCAGCCTTTTTTCTGCCGCTCAGAGAGCGCCGTTGAACAGACCCTCGGCGTCCGGGGCGGCCCTCGCTGCCACTAGTAA